CCCCCCCCCCATCGCCACTTTTTTTCGGACCAAAAAGGGGATGAAAAAAATTTTCCGGACATACAACAAAAATTTTTCCGGACATATAACAAAAAAATTTCCCGGACATACAATTTTTCAAACAGAATATTGCAAATTTTTCCCGTTATACCTAAATTTTCCAAAAATACCCTAAATTTTCCCTTAATTATCAAAATTTTTCCAGAAAAACTAAATTTTGGGGGGGGGCTAAGCACCCCCCCCACTTTTACTTCTGGAGGGGGGGGCTAAAGCCCGCCTAGCCTCCCTGTTACGCCGCCACTGACTGTGATCACAGAAGCTTTGATAACATTTCCCGTTTTCAATTTTCTAGAAACAAATCCGCTTCTAAACGAGTTCATCGCACAACTTCGCTCGAACAGTGAAACGGCAGCCATGTTGGAAATGATCAAAAAGGACTCTGGTTCCAGCAACGCTGATGCCATGGACGTGAGCTGAGTGCGCATACTAAAATACTTTTTATTTTGTAAGAAAATGCAAGATCTGATTGTTTAAAACAAAAACTTGTGTTGTCTTACGAGAAGGATGATGCCGCGACCGATAACAAAAAGAACGTTTGAGATGGACAATATGGCGATTATTATTGATCATGTGTAGTTTGCACTTCAAAGTAGTGTATATGTCGAAAGTTCTGTTTTCGGAGCGAATGGAAAATACAGATAAATTTATTGAAATTTCGTATTGGAATTTGTACCTATATATATATATATATATATATATATATATATATATATATATATATATATATATATATATATATATATATATATATATATATATATATATATATATATATACATATATATATATATATATATATATATATATATATATATATATATATATATAAATCAATCAATGATACATCAGAGCTCGTATAACAACTTTTTATTACGTTTCGGGGCAAGCCCCTTCTTCAGATTACATGTGTACACTTGATTTCAACAATTTAAACTGTCCATACCCTAATTACCCTGGGGTGATTTATTTGATTTTTTGTAGAAAATGTGGAAAAAAGTATGTGGGGAGTACAATTACCAGTTTTAGGAAACGTTTTAACAACCACAAAAGTAGCATGAATAGATATGGGAGAGGTGAAAGGGGTATGGCAGGCGAGCATTTGTATGCTCATTTTTTTGATCAAGGTCATAATGGTATGCAAGATGTGAAAGTTAAAATTATTGATAAAACTAATGTTGCATGTCCCACACAAAGAGAAGGTTTTTGGGCATATAAACTGAATTCGTTTGAACCGCATGGGTTGAATTTAAAAGACTTTGTTTGAATAATAGAGTTAATCAAGCGAATTATTATAATTAGGGTATGGACAGTTTAAATTGTTGAAATCAAGTGCACACATGTAATCTGAAGAAGGGGCTTGCTCCGAAACGTAATAAAAAGTTGTTATACGATGTATCATTGATTGATTTATATATATATATATATATATATATATATATATATATATATATATATATATATATATATATATATATATATATATATATATATATATATATATATATAGTATATATATATATATAGTGTATAATATATATATAGTGTATAATATATATATATATATATATATATATATATATATATATATATATATATATATATATATATATATATATATATATATATATATATATATATATATATATATATATATATATATATATATTTAAATATATATATATATATATATATTTAAATATATATATATATATATATATATTTAAATGTATGGGAAGTATACAGATATTGAAATGTTTCGTCTTTCAAATTAATACTTATTCAGTTGTTATGGCAACCAATACAAACTTATAGTGTTGAATATTGTCTGATGGTTCGCGTTTTTGGAAAACAAGAGCGATATCCCCCAAACCACTTTCTTTGAGAAATGGAAGTATTTCGGGTTTTTTTAATTGTTTTTTTTTGGGCAATCATCAAGCGAAATATTTAAATATGCGTGGCATTGTTTACCTTTAATAAGGCATTTTTCATGGATGTAAGTGTGTACTCATCTTTCAATGGCTCTGATGATCTTTTGTTGTAGGCAACCAAGTGTTTGGAACAAAACGGTCGAATGATTAGCCTTTCTCGCGATGACGAATATCCGCCCCTTTTGGGTGGCATCTAATTCTCGTTAACCAATTAAAACAATGTGAAAAGCAATTTTTCAAAATAAACTAACCATTTACAAAGAAAATTTACCATCATTCGTCCGAAAAATTATAAAAAGTCGCTGTCACGTAGACTCATCTCGCAGACTTCGGCTGAAAAGCCACACAAAAATGGCGGCGTGAGAAAGTCTAATTCACTTGTATTACAAAAGTTCAAGTACATGTTTTCCTAAACAATGTTTTGTTGGGTTTTAATATTCATAGTTCAAGGACATTTTTCACCTGCTTTGAACATTTGTCACGAATAATATGGCGGTGACACGGCGTGTAGGGGTCAAATTACCTGATATTTTAAATTACATTTTACATTACTTGAAAAGCAGTGTTTGAAATTCAGTGTGGGTTTTTTTTTTCATGAGTACATTCATGCCAATTACAATACATACTAAATAATAATAACGGTTATTGACCGTGTTTATAGACAGCAAAGGCAGTAACTATAAATGCGGCCAAAAGTACAATTACAAGTACGGAATATCATATTACGTAAACAACAACTTGATATTACCTTAAAAGGCAAGGGTATTTATTTCTAACCAATGGGAATTTTGTGTACAATTCGTCTGTTTCAAGCATAGAGTCTGACACGCAGGCTATAGCAACGAAAGCTTGTTCATTGTAAGTTTTAACTACTTATACATCCTAAAACTAACCAGGTTCAACCTCGGTTAATGTTAACCCTGTTAGTTTTGAATTTAAACATGCAATCCTAATCCAGGTTAGTTAGAACTGCCAGGGACTTCCAGAGGATTCCACTAAGGGATTCCAGGAGCAATTTCTCCGGAAATTTGTGAAATTTAGAAAAACAGAATGGCCATTTCCATCGATTTCAGAGTGAAATTCATGCAAAGAGAACAAAATATTTCTGGGTAAAATATTTGCGGAAGAGATTATTTCGCTGGCCTCAGAGTGACAAAAGATAACAAAGCAACGGTCTTACTAACCGTAGCCCTATTCCAAACACCAACCCTAACCATAATCCTAACCCTAACTTGATATTGACGATTGAATCGTTGCACATTAATAGATCTTCCTGGGTATACTTTGTTGATTCCGGTCTCAACTTTTCTTGGCATGTATAAGGTTTACCGTCTTCCACCCCATAGTCATTCCTTGTGAAATATTGACTCGTAGCTGCAAAATAGACAGTGAACTCCTTATTCACAGCATAATACTTTCGGTACAACCGAAGGGTTCTAAAGGGTTTATTGCAACTTTTTTCATGCATTGTCGCCTTTACCCATTTATTCCGTACTTTCCAAATATCCCGTAGGTAGTTATCAGTGGAATTACAAATCTTTATGCTATCATTCAGAACTCGATACTCAGTATAATCGTATACCTTGTTCTTATAGAGTATTGAAAAATCAGTCCGAACTTTGTATTCATCATCGTATTTTATATTCATTATTGAATCGTTGCACATTAATAGATCTTCCTGCGTATACTCTGATGATCTGGGTCTGAACTTTTCATCGCATGTATAAAGTTTACCATCTTTCACCCCATACTCATTTCTTGTGAAATATTGACCACGACGTTGCAAATAGACGGTGAACTGCTTATTCACAGTGTAGTACTCTCCAAACGACCAAGAATGTCTAATGAGTTTATTGCAACTTTTTTGATGCATTATCCCCTTTACCCATTTATTGCGCAGTTTCCAAATATTCCTTACGTAGTTATCAGTCGAGTTGCAAATTTTTATGCTATCATTCCGAACTCGATACTCAGTATAATCGTACACCTTGTTCTTATAGAGTATTGAAAAGTCAGTCCGAACTTTGTATTCATCATTGTATTTTATATTGATGATTGAATCGTTGCACGTTAATAGATCTTCCTGGGTATACTCTGTTGATATGGATTTTAACTTTTTTTTGCATATATAAGGTTCACCGTCTTTCACCCCATACTCATTTCTTGTGAAATATTGACCACGACGTTGCAAATAGACAGTGAACTGCTTATTCACAGCGTAATGGTCTTGATACAACCATGCATACTCTCTAATGGGTTTATTACAACTTTTTTGATGCATTCTCGCCTTTATCCATTTATTGCGTACTTTCCAAATATTTCTTACGTAGTTATCAGTGGAGTTACAAATCTTTATGCTATCATTCAGAACTCGATGCTCAGTATAATCGTACACCTTGTTCTTATCGAGTATTGAAAAGTCAGTCCGAACTTTGTATTCATCATCGTATTTGATATTGATGATTGAATCGATGCACATTAATAGATCTTCCTGGGTATACTCTGTTGATATGGATTTTAACTTTTCTTTGCATATATAAGGTTTACCGTCTTTCACCCCATACTCATTTCTTGTGAAATATTGACCACGACGTTGCAAATAGACAGTGAACTGCTTATTCACAGCGTAATACTTTACTGAATATGTAGGAAGAGATCCACGGCATTTTAATAATACGTCTTTCAACTTTTTCCACGAATTTCGAGTTTTCCAAACGGCCCGAATTCTTGAATCATTGGAAGCACACATTTCAAGACCTTCGTTTCCGAGTCGATATTCACGATAATCATACATCTTGTTGTTGTAAAACAGCGAAAAGTTTTTAAAAACGTTGCACTTATCGCCGTATTTCACTTTAATCAAATAATCATTGCAGGACAGACTAAGCTTTGACGAACAAATTGCAAAATATCCAAAAGTCACTCCGTAATCTTGCCTTGGGAAACTCTGCTCAGTAGGTTTGAAGAAAACAGTAAAATTTTTGTATAATGTGTAATTGTAGTAGTAAAACGCTTCCACGGATACATTACAATATTTGGAAGCGAACACTTTCTTTTCCCGAGCAATCAAATCCCGCCATCTTTGTTTAATAAGGGTGTCAGAAGAATTACAAACTTGTAGACCATCGTCCGTTACTCTGTACTCGTTATAACGGTACATTCGGCTTCGGTACATCATTGAAAAGTTGTTCCATACTCTGTAGTTATCTTCGTACTTTATAGTAAAGGTAAAATTGGCGCATTCGGTCGGACTTTCCAAGATCGCATCAATTTCACGTCTATTCCGGAGATGTTGAGTTGTGAGTGAAGCGAACGTTTCTTTTTTGGCTGTTTCCCTCGAGTCATTCTGGTGAAAAATTTGATTTTCCAATGAAGATGTATTTTTACTGCCATCGTTTTGCCTTTCTGTCTCATTTGAGTGGGAGATGGTTGTCGATTCTTCGCGTGGAACGTTTACCTCAGACGGCGATGAAGTTGAAAAAGGCAGTACTGGACTTTTTTGTATTCTTTCATATCGGAGTGTCTTCATCGCAGTTCCTAAAAATAAATTATGGTTAAGAATTACTTCTTCTGAAGTGCAAACATTCTCACATTTTCAAAATTTACCTTTTCTCACCATCTTTGAAAGAACAGTTTTCTTCCGCGCCTTGCGGCCATCAATTTGTTTATCGTTTCCTGTCAAGTTAGGGACGCGTTTGTCTTGTTCAAGAGAAACGTCAACATTCAAGGGTTTACCTTTGAATTCATCTTTTAATTTGTCTGTTTTATCTTCTCGCCTGTCATACTCTGAACCACCACCATGATAAAAACAGGCGAAAATCAGACAGAAGGAAAAGAAAACGACTCGATACAAGAGTCGAAAACTAAAGCCACGACTCATGTTGCAACTGCAAGCGTCGTTCAGCAACTGTGTATTATTTCGGCAAAACACAAAGTTTAAAAACGTTTTCAAGTTTGAGTTTGTTTTTATTTCACCAGCTGTTCCACTGGTCATACACTTCATGCACTCAAAACCCTAATAAGGAGGCTCGTTACTGATATTGAAATTTCAGGTCGAATAGTTGGGTATTATTTAAATTTCGTATTTTTTAGTTTCGTACTGAGCCGGAGGAATTAGGTTTTACATATTTTTAAAATAATGCATGGCCTATACATTAAAAAATGTTTCGTCTTCCAAATTAATTTTCGTAATACCTGAGTCCTGTATACAGACCAGCACAAGTTTCTTTCACAAATTTTGTTGCTGGTGTGTGCGGTCGACAAGTTTTCCTTGACAAACTTTGTTGTTGATGTGCACTGAATGTTGTTTAAAAATATTTATTTCACGTGAAGGCCACCTAATTTTGTTTGCCCAAACCATAGAAGTATTTCTTGTACACTTGCCAAGTTTTCCTTGGCGGCCGTGCACACGAACAAATTTTCCTTCTCCAAAAGCTGGTATGTCTAGCATTGGAACGAGGCTCCAGTGGCGTAATATTTTATCAGGGGGCTCCCGGTTCAAAATTTTCGAAGGCCCCTATAGTAGAAGTGGCAAAGGCACGAGTCGAGCGACTCGAGCACCGTATATGTACGAGTTTCCTAGGGGTCCAGCTCACCTGGAAAATTTTTGCATCTAGACTCTCTGAAATGCCATTTCCCAGACATTGGGGGAGAGATTTTACAGAATTCTGACGGGCAGAAAACGACATTGTGACATATCAGAGCCCCTGGCCAATGTTTTTGCTCCACAGCCTGAGCCTGGGGGGTTCCCATTTTGGTCCATTGGGGTTCCCATTTTGGTCCATTGGGGCCCCCGAGTTCGCCCGGTCCGAG